GGGACAATGCAGGCTTCGTCAGCGTCAAAGGAGCGTGCAATGGTGAGCTGAAAATTCAAACAAACAGCAGCATTCATTAAGCCACGCCTGAGATTTCTAATTTTAGATGCGGCTGCATCTGTCATACCAGCTATGTTATAGAGAATGAGCCAGGAGTCCCTTTCATTTACACTAGAATGAACTAGGACAAGCACCACCAACTTCTATAGTAAAATATTGGAATAAAAACAGTGCAAGAGCAGAATCAAACCTTTGCAGTAGTCTAAATCCTTTATCTCTGTAGGTAGCTTGGTTTCACAAATCCATTGATGGAACTAAAAAGCACCACTGACTCTGAAAGAAACTACTGTTAGAGAATGGTCTTTACACACCACAGGTTTGTTCTGTATTGTAGATCCAAGCCAATAAATGTAAAATACATCAAGGTGCAGATATGAAATTGCTGAATTCCAGTGAGCTGGATGGAGTTGATTAGATTATCACTGAATTAAAAAAACAACCCTACATAAAGAAGGCAGTTAGAGATAGATATCAGAGGTTTCATCCTGCCAGAGGTCTGCTCCCAAAATACATATTCAAAGTTGTCTTTTGAATCTCATCTATTATTAACAGACAGACTTGGAAAAATTTATGGTCTTTTATGAACTGACTTACTAATCTCATGATTGAGAGTGTAGCACCCCAAAATTAAGAAGAAAGTAGTTACCTATGATGGTCTTTTCTTTATTCAAATATCCATTGGAATGCCAGAAAAAACTTTTTATTGCATTAATTGGGAGGAATGTTATGTTCTTTACCTTGGTATGCTGGAAATTAAATACATTGTGATGCATTGCAACCCAAAGATAAGAAAGGCCTTAATAGTTACAATTTTAGTAATACATTATCCATGTAGCACACATTTGTAAGCACCTAATAAAGTCATGAACATTACCTTGAAAATCCATTTCTTTTAGGTCACAGTATAAGAGTACTATTTGTACACAGGAATTTTGTCCATAGGCAACTGACAGCTGAGAATACTGACTGAAAAGTTGCTATGTTTTTATTTGTGTTAGCTCTGCACTGTTTAAAACATAAGAAAGAGAATTAAATTTTAATCTGGCACCTGCACTCTAATAAGAATGCTTAATTCCGTTTTCAAAACCATTACAACTCTCAGACCAGGAAAAAGACAGCTTGAATTTCAAATCAAAACTTCAGTTTGGAAAGCCAGCAGTTAGAAAAACAACCTCAGCTTTTGCTCAACAGAACACAAGTACACTTTACTCATCAAAGAAACATCCATTTATTTTCTAGCAAGACAGATTTTTTTTGTGTGTACTTCCTCTTCAGCCTACCAAAGCATGTTACTCAACAGAGCAAAGGTGGGATTAGTTGTACTTATGTATAATCTAAATTTACCTGATTATAGATTTATGGGTGCTGATTGTTTGTTTCATAACTCCTTAGTGAAGGTTTACCAGAGCAGTGACTTGGGAGTAGCTCCAACAGTAATCCAGCATAAAGAGATTTCTGAAGGGAAGAAGATCTGGCAGTGCCTTCTCATACCCAAAGTCAGTAAAGGCAGAATGAAGCCCAGAGGGCACTGGGAGTTCAACAAACAGTGACAGAGTTACTACATGCTGCAAAAGCTGACTCAGTCATTTGTTAGGACAGAGGAAGAACTTATTTATTATCTGAATAGAAACAACAGAGGGATCCTTTTATTCATGCAAATGGGATCAATTTAACTAAAATTGATGCAAAAACCCAATGCAGTTAAATCTGTGCACAACCCAATGAGATACATTCATATTGCCTGAAAATCAGATAAAGATGTTTAGTTTTTATGTGCAAATTTACTGAATCTGATGTATTCCAAATTAAGAGAATCTGCACAGAATTTTGCCATTTAAGAACAGCCATTTAGTTATCCAGTTAAAATTTCTTCTAGATATAGCCTCCAATGGAAAAGGCCCTGGGATATACATGTGCTGCAAGTGCATCCCAACAAGACATCAGCATTTCATATCAGCCAGTGAAGACTCTGCTTTGTGCTAGGTAGCAATGTAGCAGTCTCCTGTAGTGTCATATGAGGCTCAACTAGCCCCAAACCTATGGCTTAGGTGAAAGAAATTTTGTATAATTTTCCCCATTCTTTAAGCTTGTCAAGCTCCCTAGCTTGCTACTGATTACACCACCACAGTCTGAGCATTAGCAACACGGTGAAGTGCAATTGCTAGTCATCAGAGAACACTTGGATTCAAGAAAATGGAGTAACCAGATTTAGATACTTGAGGATATTTACATATGCTAGAATAACTGTGCAGCAAAAACTGCACTAGGCAGCACTCACTAGAATGGATGAACTGCTAAGTTTGCTTCTTTTACAGTTTGATTTATCATGCTTGGGACAATTTTTTTTGCTTGTGTCTTCATTGTGCTGTCCCTTTGAGGGAGTATCAGGATGATTCTGTCTCCTGGGAAACATAACTTCATCCTGCAAAAATTATGATAGTGTCTTTAAGAGCCCCTTTCTGACCACCAGCCAGAAATAAAGTTGTACACAGTATTATCTCTGTCTTTTTGAGGATGTCAGATGTTATGCTATACATTGACAAGCCCTACTATTGGCATCCTCTTCCGCAGATTTTATGTGGGAAATCTGTGTCACCTAAAGGCAACTAGTTCCCATGAGTAGGCCCAGTGTGCTTTGGCAACACACAGCAGGTGAGGAGAATTTCTAGTGCTGGGTGCAGATGGGGTGAAGTCTGGTGTCTGATTTCAAAAAGAAACATATCAGTACAGAGCACTAGGAAGCCAGTCGTAGGGATTAGCTGCCAGGTGTGCATCACTTGCATCCATGGTTTAAAGGCAGAAGTAAACCAAAACTTGTTTGTAAGATTGTCTGCAAATGCACTTCTTTGGAAAGAATTTTAGCTTTATTGTATTAGAAATGAAGAACTGGTGTTCTTCTTCCTCAGGTTGCTGTGCAGTCCAAACCAGTATTTTTATACAAATGGCAGTGTCTCCCATGCGCCTTTCAGAGATAAAAAGCATGCAGTTGGAGAAGAGAAATCGTAGGCCTGCAGGGTGATCAGTTTGACTGTCAGGAATGCAGGATACTGTCACATCCCACTGAAATCAAATGGCAAGCCATTTCCTTGTCATCCTTCCCAAATGTAAAAGAGGTTACTAATATTTGTCCCTCGCTGAAAAGCCCTGATCTACTGAACTCCAGTTCACCTTTCACAGAGTACTTGAGCTGGCAGGTCCTGGCTGTCAGGAGTGACAAAGTGACAGAAAAGGTCACATGGCATGGCTGGACAGCATGCCATGTTCTATTGACAGGAGTGTTCATGGTGCTGAGTGCCTCATATTTACTGTGGGTGGGGAGGAGTCAAAGACAGTGCATCATCTGAATGGACAGGTTTACCAGAGTGTTGCTTTCTTTCCTAGATGGACTTACATCATCTCGTCAGAATCATACAGACCAGCATCAGATTCATGAGGAATCTCTAAACTGTCTGCAGAAGGAAAACATGTGCGTACATGGAGGGCCCCTTGCTACCCTTTACAGTGCTAAGGACAGCTAATGCCCAGATTACCACTTGCTGGACCAGCATCTCAGCAGCCCTGCTGAAAATGCAGTGTGCTCACTGCAACTTTTATCTGAAGGTCACTTGTATTCTCCCCCTCACAGTGACCTCTCCTCAACTGAACTGGAAAAGTGTGGTCACTGGTTTTGTGCAGGGAATGAGTCTCTTTTGTCTCTAAATCACAGAAATCATTTTTCCTGTTTACCAATTGGCAAAAATACACACATTTTCCTAGGAAAGGATTTTCATTGGAGGGGGGTGATTACCAGTCAAGTGAACATCCACCCTCTGGCTTTGGAGGGGCTTGTGTGGGGCACGAGCTTGTGGCAGAAAGCAGCCCCAGGCCCATTGTCAACACATCAATTAACATCTAACTTGAAATATGTTTGTGTTTCTGCTTAGCCTCCCTTGATCCTTCCTTATTTCCCTCAGTTCCTTTTTAATGGCAACTGAAAATACTTTATGCTGAGCAGGTGGAAAGGGAGTTGAAGAAATTCCAGACTTAAATTATGAAGCCTTAATGATGTTAGTCATTGGAATATAATCACAAATGGAAAGCGGTTGTAACTAAGAGGCCACTTTTCCAGAATGCCCCACTCCCAGAGACATCCTCCTTTTAGACAAAAAAAGAGCCATGGTCTGGGGTTTCCAGGCAATGCAAGGAAACACTGTATCCTTCCTGATACTCCTTTGATTCTTATCATTCACAAAATCCAGGTGAAAGAGGGAATTTTGCTGCCTTTGAGCCATTCATTTGCAGACCCCAATGCAAGGAATGCTGCAAAAGAACAGAACAGCAAAGGCCCAAGCAGCACTGGGAATGATCTGCCTGCTTTTTCTGCGCCAGCAACCAACAGAGACTTCATTGCAGCCCAGAAAATCATCCATTTATTTTTAAGCAGGGGCAGTATGGTGTAATAATACTTCAGCAAGTTCCTGAATTGTGCCCATGACAACATGACTGTTGTGAGTAAATTGAAAGTTTGTTATCTGCTCTGCTGAATGCTAGTTTCAGAAAGGGAGAAAATTCAGTCAATATGAGAAATCTCACTTATACTAGCAGTGAAAGCTGGGCAGGATTTTTAAAATGAAGAAAGTTGTTTTGCTATCAATGTGAGAAAAAAGCCCTTTAAAATTGCAGACTTTTAAAATATACAACAGCAGCAACAAAAATTGCCAAAATCAAATCAGTTTCTCCAGCAAACAACTAAGGGCATCAAAGCAAGTGACACAGAATATGAGCTTTCCATTCATATGTGCTTTCCTCAAGGTAGATTACCCAGGGAACATAACTGATATATGGTTAGACAGGTTTTTATAGTCGCCTCCACCCTCTGGTCAATATATTCCTCTGTTTCACTGTAGGTAGTCCTCATTTCCTCTTTGCTGAGTACAGCTGGTGGACTACTATGCAGACTGTACCACCCAGAAGACTTAACTCTGTCTTCTAGCATGGGGACCCTCTGGCACTTACAATACACTTTGATTTTATTCTGTATTTCGGTGCTAAATACCACAGGGTAAGTAGCGCAGTAACTGAATGAAGCTTAACTCAGGAAGCTCAGCTGTTAATGATAAATATCCTTCCTTCTCTTTTTAAATGTGGAATGTTTCTTCACTTTTTAAATGTGGATGTTGTACAATTGAACCTTGTCATTTTGAAAAAGAAGAAATAATTTAATTTTGTTGTTGCCTAATTCTGCACTGGCTCCTGTCTGTGAGAAAAACCTGTAACACATGGATTCCTAATGGCGCATCTGAAGAGGAGAGATCTTGACAAAATAACCGCAATAGTTATAAAACACTTTTGACTCTGAATATACCTACAGTAACCTTTGCCTTAGGACTTGCCTGATGTGTAACAGTTTAAAGATAGCACTGAATAGAGACCTAGTGGCAACTCGTCACAGCTTTCCCTTTCTCATGGAAGAAGAAATCCAGCAAGGAGCAGTGAAGCAAATTTTCTTACTTTATCTGTCTTAACATAGTCTCTTTCCTCCTTAGCCTTAGCTCAGTCTGTTTTCCAGTTGCTTGCTGCATTTTGCCAATGAACTGATTGTGTGATATTTGCTCCTAATCTCCCTAGTTTCTCTGAATGTCATTGCTTAGTTTTTGAGGGGCAGTGGGGACATTGACTGTAATGCATTCACCTAAGGACAGATTCTCTATACCGTGTCAAGTACAATAAGGATAAATAAGGAGGAGGACCACAGAGGCTGGAACTGAACCCTGCCTCCTGAAACTGTGGACTACCATCAGAGTATGTCAAGAACTACTATTGTAGCCTTGCAGTCCTGGAAATCCCTTCCTTATGCAAAACACCAAAAGAGCAGAGCCATTTATGCTGTCATCTGTCGTGGGATTTTGGTCTTGTGTCAGCTCATCTCTGCAGGACTTTGTAGCAGCACAAGGACTATACATTTGTAACTGCTTTTTTTCTGAAGCTTTTTCAGGGTAAATTAAAAGAGCTGAATGAGATGACAGCTTTGTTTCATGAGAGATTTGCAGGAGTTAAAGGAAATATATAGGTTTCCACCAAATAAGGGTTACACAGTACACTAGTTTACTGGCATTTACACACTTTGCTTTGCAACAGTGGGGATGACAATGCCATGAGCAAGTTAATAGCAAGTCTTTGCTATCATCCTGGTATTGTCTGAGCTGAGCTGCATCTATCCATCCCTTCCATAGCTCCCTGTATGTAGGAGAGCTGGTCTCCTTTCAGTTTGGTGGGATACAGAGCAGAGGATCCTTCCACACTAGATGAAGTGAACATATCCCACCTTTGACTCACTCTCAGAACTATATCATGAAAGAGTAAGTACATATGGGAAGAGAAAGAATCAGACATGGATGAAACCCTGGATCTATTCAGTTATTCAGTGAAACACCCAAAGACATATGTTGAGGTCCCAATATTCTTTCTTAAACAGTTTCTGAGTCACTAATTCCACAAGGGCTTCACTGTGTTATTTTTCTTGGCAGGATCAAGCAAAGACCAAATGGTGGCTTGAGAACATGGGATTCTGAAACAGGTAACTGCATGTCATTAGTGCTGTTAACATCCAAGGCAGATTTTGAACATACTATCCCCTCCTCCTTACTTTAATGTATTTCAGCTTACCTCACCAGATGTGATTTTAACAACAACTCAAGACCATTTTGTGACTGGACCCAACCTTGCAATGCCGACCAGGGAATGTGGATACGAACCAAGCATGACACTCCGACTGATGGAACAGGTCCTGCTGGAGACTATCCTGATGGAAGTAGGTGCTCAATTGTGTCATTGTTGATTTTCTTTTGAAGACAGCTTGACTACCTTTATTCACCTTTCTTTAAGAGAAATGAGATTGATGAAGCCCTTTGAAATGTATCAGTTTTGTTTCATGCTGACACCTGTCTTCCACTTTTTGCTGTGTCAGTTACGAGTAAATTAAACTGGGTTGCTTCATCATGGGCTGGAAATCTTTAGCAGTGCATGGAAGTAGAAGAAAGCTAATTATGTCATGCTTAAGGCCTCACAGAGAATTCAGTGATGTGCAACAGATCATTATTCAAGAGAGCTCTTGTGGCCAAATTACACTGATATCAGTTAATGGCAGTAAATGTAATGATTGCTGTACTGGTACTAGATAATGTTCATGCTAGCAAAGTGTTATAAGATCAAGTCTGAAATTAAATAATATCTTTTAAAAGCTTGTCCTCAGCTACATGTGATTGAAAAACTGGGGCCTAACGTGGTCATATCATCAGACGAGTGCTTAGTATGGCTCCATCTCTATCTGAACCGCTACCCTTGCACTAGCAGATCCATTTATGGGGGATCAGTCTGTAGTCATATTGTTTTCCGTAATTATCCTGAGACTGAAAGGTCAGCTACTGTCAGATTCTGTAAGCGGATTAGGACAGTATTAGTCGGGATTTTTGCTAAATAATTTTCTGCATTTTTAGTATTTTGATAATAACAATTAAAATTGCCTGTTGAAAGAAGAAATGAAATATTTTTAATTTTTATTCACACACACAAAAAAATGTTTTGCTTTTTGACTTGACACAGACCATGTAACTTTAAATATGACTTATATTTTCTTGCCAGCTAAAACATATGACTGAATGTTAGATGCTATGTATGGAGCCATACTTTACATATAGAAATGAAATGGTCATTCATTTGTTTTTGATTCCTTTCCATAATCAGATGGGAGAGACTTGACTTTAACTGCACTGGGGAAATGTAGCTTTGATCTTAGCCCATGGGAAGTAAAAAGCTTCAGCCCTAGTGAAGCAAAATGTGATCTCATATTGAACCAATTCAGACTAAAGCATTTCAAATCCTTAAAGAAACACTGTGAGTTTCTGAATTTTGAAAAGTTTCCTTCCTTTTCATAATGTCATACCTAAATATTTTAATGGAAATATCTGCATTGCTTTCTATCCCTTCCATGTTGAGACAAAACCAAATGCTGAGATGTTAGGATTTTCCTTGTGCTAGGGATTTGCTCCTCTTGAGACCAAGATCTTTAGGAAAAAAATATATCCCGCAAGAGAAGGTGTATAGCAGATAGATTGCATTATTTTCCTTTGAGGAGAGAGGAAACTGAACATGGATCAGTGGGGCAGTGTGTCTGGAGGTGCTGCCTCTTGAAAGAGGCCTACATATTTATTTGTGATCCCAAAATAACTGTTCATGTGAGATGGGATATATTTGCTTTGCTCACCAGCTCACATTCTAGTTTGGAAAACTACATGGTGCTAACCATTGCAATGTAAATTCCAAACACTCTCTACTTTGCTTCTTTGTACTGCTAATGATGCCCTTGACTTCTTCCAGAGTTGGGTTGTACTTCAGTTTTAAATAACACCTAACAAGTTATAAAGATCCAACAATATTTTATTTTTTTTTACTCCACAGAAGGCTATTTCATCTACCAAGAAGCAAGTAATCTGATCCCATTCGACACTAACAGGCTTGAGAGCCCAGATACTGTAGTTTCTGAAAAAATATGCATAGACTTCTGGTACTATATGTTTGGGTCAGAAGACATGAATGAGCTGAGAGTGCTTATCCAAGACAGCACAGGCGAGTCTGTGGTGTGGAGTCGGAAGGGAAACCAGAGTTCCTTGTGGAACTATGGTGCCATCACTCATACTTTTCCAACACAAAGAAAGATAAAGGTAATATATTTTCAGAATAAACTTCTTTGTACAGTGTCAGCATTTGTTCTCCCCTTGCAGACAAAAGGTTGTGCATGTAAGCTAGAAAATATAACCAAGATTTGCTTGGTTTATATTTCGTAAATATAATGGCCTTATGCTCTGTGCCAATGAACTAAGAGAAGAAACAAACAACCCCCTGAGTTTTATTGATGCTGTTACTTAGGGCATAATACATATTTAGTTCTCCCGCTTTTTCCTTCCTTCTCTCCTTTATTTTATCACGAAGTCAAGGACTTTAGGTGCCTTAATTAAATGCAGGTTTGTCTGCTGTGAGTTAAGGTTTGAACTTTGGGATGCTGCCTACATTGGACTCCTCTGTAGAATCCAGACGACTAATTCTCATAAATCATTTATCAGTCAGCAAAATCAAGGACAATGTTTCTTGAAGTCCTTACCTTATAACAGAATATATATTTTAGGCTTCTGAGGGAAGCTAGGAAAAATGTTACAGTCTCAGCTTACTTGATGCCTTTAAAGATACACCAGAAAGCATGTTTTCAAAATATTCTAAGGGAACAGGTCTCATATTTGCCTAAACAACTCTGATGCAGTGATTCACTTCGTGTCCTGCCTAGGTAATTTTTGAGGCTGTCCGAGGACTGACAGAGTATGGGGATACAGCACTGGACAATGTTAGAGTAAGGGATGGATCCTGTGGTAAGTCTGTGTTTGCATCTTAGTGTATCTTAGAGCTCCTTCCTCAGCTCTGTTTAAGCTGTTGACCATTACTCCATTCCATATACAATATAGAAACTCCTCATAACTTTGAACCACAAAAGAGAAATGGCAAAAACTTTACAGCATGCTTCATTGGAATGTCACCTGTTTTGTTGTAGTTTCTTCCTAAATCTTTCCTCACCACCTCAAACATCCAGAATAAGCTATCCCCTTCCCTGAAAATGTGACCGTTTTCACAAGGTCCAGCAAACTTGCACTTCAGACTTTAAGTGAAGGTAATCTCTTAAACCCAGCCAAGGCTATGCACATTGGTCTTGGATTCTAGATTAAATGCTCTAATCAGGATTTTACAGCAAATCTCAGTTCATACAAGTTCAGGAAATACACAGCACTGCCATATGTCACAAAAAGAAGTAACGGTGAGTCAATAAAGCTGACTTGCACTCCCAGCTCCGACTATGAATCAGCAATTTGAGCTTGATCGCTGACCCTGTAATAAATCAGCCAAGACTGGCACAAGCTATGGATGACTAGGATCTCAAGTGGCTTACAGTTTCATCCCATCTTCACTGACAAGCATGCAATACTTACAAAATGTGAATTGAACAAGAAACTTGCTGAAAAACATATAGGAAGTGTCATTAGGCCTTAATAGACTTGGCTCTCTGTGAAATACTGCTCACATAATGACAATAAAATGTTTCAAATTTATGCTAGCCAGGACAAAGATTTCCATTCAGGTCCACACTGTCAGAACATATAATTTTCTTTAAAATTCTGTGAAAATACTTGGAGCCTTTTTTTTTTTTGGAGGGCTAGGGAGAGCCAGTTCTTCATTTTCCCAGGAGTATTAGCACATGATTCAGCCACTGGATGGTGCACTAACGTAACTCCAAGAGGCAAGAAGAGTGCTTCTGTCTCTGTTCAACTGTATGGCTACTAATATGATGAAAGTTAAGTGAATTATTAGATCTGGTAAAAGTTAAAGTCCTCCCAATCTTTTTGTTTCTACCAGAATGTTTGATTGAATAGACATTTTAATGAAACTCATGAAAAACTAAATATATGTTCATTTGTTACATGAAAAATTAGCTTCCAAGGCAACTTTAGCAAGCAGTCTTTAGGTTATGATGTTTGATGTTCATATTGTCATTTGCAGAACTTCTTCACCTTAGAGCTCAAAGGACAATAATCTTAGGAAGAAGTTTTCTTCTGTTTTTTTTTTCCTCAGCTCTACAACAAAGTTAACTTAAAGCTTGTTGGGAAGTACCCATTGTGGCAATACACCCATTATCAGGATTCCTGTAATTTTTCACCAATGTTGAAAGAGCAAAAAGAGCAGTTCTGGGCTAGATATGCAAAAACTGCATTGAAACTGGAGTAGGGAGCTGGATGTGAAGAAATGGGCATATAAGAAACAGATGTACAAGAAACCAGTGCATGCAAAGGAGCTGATCCTATTTTGCAGGCAGGTTATTACAAAATATCTTCAGCTATGAAGTTAGAGCTCATTAAGTGAATGGCATCATTTTGTGAAGAGATTTATCACTATACACTAGACTTCAGATTAGGTGAACTCTATGGGCTGCTTCTAAATTATAATCATAAGTATCTTGCAAAACTCCCACATCCCGCTGAGTTTGGATCACATGGTTAGCACAAAAGCAGTACCATCATAGTATGTAGTTACTGCATCATTATTCAAAAATCTTTAACTTGTTCTCATGTGACTTGTTTTCTATATTACGACTTAATCCCTGTAAATAATGTTGTTAGCAGTGTCAGTAATATGGAAGACCAACTGCCTTAGCTGTGAATTCATTTGGATGATTATATACCTATAGTGCATCTATAAGTAGGTTGGAAAGCATTGTTCTCCATGAATCAATTCATCACTTGGTTATCTCCTTGTACACAGACTGTTATCGCACACTCAGTGCGCAGTGGAGGGCTCACAAGGGTGCAATAGGAGAATACCTGAATGAGGAGAGTTGTTCTTTGTTCTGCAAAGGGGCAGGAGTGAATGGGTGTGTGCTCTGAAGGTTTTAGTCAGTCTATTGTACTTCCAAAGATTCAGATCCATCACTCATTCTCATGTCATCAGGTGAACGAACATGACATCAAGAGAATACTCAACCTGGTGTTGCTATCTCACACATAAAAGTACACCAAAAGGACCACTTCTTTTAGAATATATCTTTGTCATGGATGAAGCATAGGTGGAGAAGATGCTAATATTTGTTAGCAAGCAGAAGCAGGCGGGAGGGAAGACTCTACAAGAAGACTGTTTATTTTGTCTGTCAGTAGAAAGGTCTTACAGCTGTCATAGTCCTAAGAAATAAATATAATTTTGAAGAAACAACAAAACTCTCTGATTAGAAACCACCAGTGCCCTGAGAGTTATTTGTTTCTGCTATATGGCATCTGCTGGCAGGCCACTCGCTCCCAGACCTGCCAACACTTGCAGACAGTATGACCTTCATGCCTTAACATACATGCCAGAGGGAGTCACATATGCAATTGTAAATACACTTCCAGCTCCAGAGAAGCATGCTGGCACAAGCTCAGTCACTGTCACCAAGCTAATGATCAGACAAGCTTTCCTAAGTGCTCAAAAGACCCACACATCCTCGGTTTTATATATAGGTAGTTTCACTTACTTCAGTTAAAAACTTCTAACTTTATGCTGGTGAAGAATAAGTGGAAATTCATGTATGTTGGTGTGTAAGTAGTGTTCACCCTGTAATGTTATGACTCATTGTATTGCCTTGTCTTTTCTACTAACAGAAGCTGTCCCCACCCCTGTACCACCAACACCTACACCAACACCAACAGAATCTACACCGCCTCCAGTGATAGGTAATTTTAGCCAATAACATATGCTAGTCAATGGGTTGTAGAAGGGCATCTAAATTTTTTACTACCAGTGCTACTTATTTGCTTCAGCTAATTTCTTTGGGTATCTCTCTATGGCATTGCCCTATGCCATATAGATCTGGCTTTTCCGTTTCATTTCTTCCATATGTAATCTATAAAATGGGGATGATTGTGTTTTCCCACTGCACAATGAGGTGGCTTTTCTGGATGTATCCATATGTTAATGAGAACATATTCCCTTTTCCCGTTTCCAGAAGCAATTTGCAGTATATACGGGGATCCTCACTATTACACATTTGACAAGCAGCGTCACGACTTTATGGGTACCTGCACCTACACCCTCTCCAAGCTGTGTGAGAGCAACAGCTCACTGCCCTATTTCAACGTGGAAGCAGCCAATGAGCACAGGGGAAGCAACACTCGTGTGTCCTATGTCCGATATGTGGACATCGATGTGTATGGCTACAGGATCAATCTGGGTAAAAACAGAGTTGTTAAGGTAAGGTTGGAGCCCACTATCCATCATCAGTAACTTATAGTGTGAATGAAGAAATTGTTGTACAATGACTACAAATTTCCAGCATACATGCAGTAATATTTAGAGGGCAGTCAGATATTTAGGAGTAGGAGTAGCGTGGAGTTCTTAAACATTGCAATTTCAGGACTGAAAATATAGGCTAAAATTTTGTGTTGTGTTGCTAAAAAGTGGGATTAGAGCTGACACTCCAGATGGGGTTGGTGGGCTAGCTTACCTTTCTAGCTTGCCCCCCATGCTCAAGCTTTGTCTGCATCAAGGAATAAAAAGGCCCTGCATTAACCACGTCCACACTAGTGGTTATTTCCCAATCCTGTGTGGTAGCCTGTAAAGCTGCATGCTCATCCCTGATTTCTAGTTATTCCACATCACTGCTAACTTCGCTTAACACCTGGCATTTGCCATAAACCAGGGCCAGATGAGAGAGTCCTAGAGTGACAATCGGATGACTCCTCACACTGATTGTGTCACTTGGCCAGCTACTGTATTTTAAGGCTTTCTATGGCTCCTTTCCATAAAGGGCCAAGACAGCAGACATGTTTGATCCAAACCCCCACTAAATGAATAGGTCACCTTACTTCATTACCACCCTTCTTATAAGAAAATAGTACAGTGATTTCTGTGACAGGAGATAAAGGTTTAAATGTACACCAAGACCTTTCCTGTCCAATCTTAGAAACATATTGAACTCATATATCCACATTTGTCCAACAGCTTCTCTTTTATGCCTTTCCCCTGTATTTACTGTTTTTATTATATCTATGTTGCTAAGTAAACCAAACTTTCTTACATATGTAATAAGAAGAAATGTTCAAAGTAGCTGCTAATTTTCATAAATTTTAAATAAGTTGAAAATTTTACTTGGACTATTACTTTCTATTGTCTGGCATTTCAAATGTGAAAATTAAAAGAGAAAGAAATAAAAGGAAGCTTTTTCAAGATTTGTCCAATCCTGAAAATTTTCTGCAAACGCATTCTAACTACATTTTTTAAATCTTATTTATTTGATCCAAAATAAAAGACAGGTCTGTAAGCAGTTACTGCTGACAGACCATGCTAAGTCCTGGGACTTTTGCCAGCTGGGTCTGGTTCACCAAGCTCATTTTGACTGCACTTGGAAGCTATGTAGCTACATTATTATGGCCTCAAGGCCCTAGTTTATGTGCCCATATACAACATTCATGTTAAATAATACTTAACACAATGTGAGTTCTTACTGCTCACCGTGCAACATGGGGATGTGATCTAAGAAGGTCACCATTAAAAATGCTTCTTTTAAAGTGATTATAATGATTGTCCTTCTCTGTGCCTGCAGCTTGATGGAGTCAGCCAGGTGCTCCCTCTGACCTTGGCGCAGGGTGTCAGTATTTCCTTCAGTGGGCAGTATGTTGTGGTTACTACTGACTTTGGGCTGAATATCAAGTTTGATGGAAATCACAGAGTAGAAATCACTCTTCCCAGTACCTATATGTCTAAAGTCTGTGGAATATGTGGAAATTATAATGGGAACAAAGCAGATGACTTTCTTAACCCAGATGGAGAGATGGAAACAAACTCGGCCAGCCTTGGCAACAGTTGGCAGGTTCACAATGACTCCAGGTAGGACTCCAGAGGGGATGTTAGGCCTTAGCTATTGATTATGCAATGACCAGTATTTTAAGCAACTGTTGTGTGTGGGCCAAAAATGTCAGGCACATGGAATAAAATATATTCTTGTCAGTTTAGTTACTTTATCTATCTGGGTAGTTTCACAGCAAATTTAGCTGTGCTTAAAAAGAGAAAATTTGAATAAAACACTGCAGATGCCCACTAAGACTTCAGTTATTATTACAGTGTATTAACGCTAACACCTGAAGATCTTGTTTGAACTCTTCTGAGACACTTTATTTTATGAATTCACAATATATTGATAGTAGAGGTTTAACTTCAAATGCTTTTACTCTTTGTTCTCCCTTCCTAGGTATCTTCCATGTAGAAAGCTTGACTTAAAAGAAAGCCAAAATAAATATTTGGGTTTCTTCCAGGCCTCTCCAAGGTTATAAGGTTGAGATCATGTTGAAATCTGAATTTCTATCCTAAGTGTTTGAAATGTAGAGCTGTAAAATATGTTATGCTTATCCTGGGGACAGCCCTGTAGTTTTGTTAGATGTGATTTGAAAAGTGTCTTAGGTGCTAGTGCATCCAAAGTTCATCGGTGAATTTTTTCACATCTTTTTTTTTTTCCACACTAGGTGCTTGCCAGACCATGGCCATACTCCAAATTGCACTGCTGATGAAAAACATATGATCCAAAGCAATGAATACTGTGGTCTGATCACAGATCCCAATGGTCCATTCCGGAACTGCCACTCAGTAGTTGATCCACAAAGTTATTCTGAAGCCTGCCAGTATGATCTCTGTGAACTTCATTTGAACAATGCAGCCCTCTGTCAAAACCTGCAGGCTTATGCAGATGTGTGCCAAGCTGCAGGAGTCCAGCTGACACCATGGAGAAATGCAACCTTCTGCCGTATGTATCAAAAATTACTGGAAATTACCACTTGTCAGGAGGATATAATTAGGACTTCCTGAAGACAGAGCACTACAAGACACTGTTTTGAATTCCTATAACATTGTGAATCTTGACTGATCAGGCTAAAGATTTCAGGGTTACATATAGTCCTCAGTTTGATTCCTTTGGGAAGATTCTAGTGACAATATTTAAGCTGCTTCCGATGGAAGGAGAAAATACTGTCTAGTCCATCTTAAAATATAATTGGAGGCTTTTCCTTTGAATTCCTCTAGTGTCCCTATATTTTTGTTCAGGGGTATTAAGTGTATCAGGGACATTTGACTTAGAGGGTTTTTTACCTTCTGAAGAAGCTATACCTAAACTTAAGTGTCTTTGAGAAAAAAAATAATCTCATTTTGCACATGCTTAGTAGATATGTAACAGTTTTATTCACCCTCCCTGCTGAGAGCCTGAGCTGCCTTCTCCTATGCTCCCAGCCTCTCTACCCTGTGGAGTGGCCAGGCACCCAGTTAACAGAAAGGAAGCTGTGTTTTCTCCTCTTGCAGCAACCTAGGCAAAAACACATCAAGGTGGATGCCTTATATGAACATAGAAGGGACATAAGCCAGAGCAGATGAAAGGCAGAGCTGTAGATGGGGATAAGGAATCCAGGCAGTCTGGGACAGTGAGAAAGGAGATTTGACTAGGAACTGGAGAGGACTAATGAATAGGCTAAGTGGAAGGCCCTGGATTTAGAGAAAGCAAGTAGGAGCTAGAACGGAAAATGAGAATTTGCTTAGAAGTCTACAGAAAAGAGGAAGGACAGGTGGAAGCTGGCTAGGTAGAGAGCCAAGGACAAGGAAGCACAGACTAGGTAGCCAGTCCAGGGGTCAGAGCTTGTTGCTCTTACAGGAATAATGAAATCAGAGCTGATGAGAGGAATAAACCTGAGATCGAACAGAGAAAATATCTGAAACTCATAGTTTGTAGCAGTGCAAAGAGAGCAGGATGAAGGAGGAACACAACTCATGAGCTGAGCAGGAGATCTGGGAAAAAGAGGGAAGGAGGGTATTGGAAACACTATCATCAGTGGCACAAACTGTCATATGTATGCGAGGAAGGAGCACTGGCTATTCATCCCTACGGATGTGGAGGAAAGCATCAGAATGTCCTGTACAGGCATAGTGATTCATGGTTTCAGGTGGGAGAGGAGGCAACACAGGTAGGCAGCCTGAAATTAAAGGCCAGGACTGAGGTAAGAAGCCTGTGCAATAGAGGCTGTAACCACGCTAATGGAAGTGGAAAAGGTAGTGAGGGTGGGCAAGAGACAAAAACACAGAGGCACAAGACAAAAGGTATCAAGTATTGAACTAATAGACAGAAGTCTGTGCTGGAGATTAAATGGGAATAATGACCCTTCTTCTGTTGGTAAAGATTAAGTAGAGAACATTTCTCAAGCATTTGGGTATATATTATAGAAATAAAAACATGTTCTCTTTAGAACAGGATTTAAATACTGTCTGAAAGTCCTGAGCAGATCTGCTCCCACCAGAAGCAATGTAAGGAACATGAAATAGTGATCCAGTGCCTTATGTGCCTTCTGCACTGAAGGAGATTGGGAGACTAAAGAAAGAGACTTGTCTGTAAACAGTGGAATGACTGAAGCCTGATTTCTTTTTGACTTTTGTTTCACATTTGACTGAAGTCTCTAGCCGGAGCATTTTCTCTGCTGGGGACATTACCGAGGATTTCTCTCACATAGATTCTAGGGTTTCTAAGCAGGAGTGACCCCTCTCCATAGCTGTTCTGTCTACTGAAGAAGTTTGCAGGATCTCTCCTCTTTGCCTTGCACCTATATTTCATTTAATGGACCTGAATATGTTTTTGTCCTCTACCAATCTCACCAACTTATTTCCAATAAGTCAGCTGGGTCAAATTTAGTAAGTGGGGGGATGAGCAGAGAAATGTACAATGTAATTGTGTGATCTCTGTCTCCTTAGGAAAGCAGACTAAAAATAGAGTGAGAAAATATATCATTAAAAATTGAACTGCATCACATAAACATATAGAAGCTGAAAAAAGATTGTAGGGAACTTCAGTTCTGGCACATTCTCACCTGAAAATGTCAGTGTTTAAAACATCTAATTAGCTTGGGTATCTACATGTCGCATATGTAACAAGATGTAAAAATAGAATAGAGCACTTGTACATCCTGATTATTTAACAAACATTAAAGACCTTGGGGAAGTGAAAAAATATGATTAGAATTAAATATCAGGACTATAACCTAAATATGGCACATGCCTAGGACAAATAACTAACATGACACCAATATCCTGAGCCCAAAGCAAGAATTCCAAGTAATCATCTTCAGGAATAAGAGGTCTCCTAGGAAATTCTCTCCATGAATGAAAATTTAAATAGCCTAAACCTCAAAAGAAATTAAAGGGTGGTAAGAGAGCAAAGGCATGCATCAAACTATATCAGAACTCCAAGATGTCCCCTAATACTTCAAACCAAACCAAAACATGATATTAAACAAAACCCAACACTTCAGTAGTTAAAAAAAAAGATTAATAAATAGGTTTATCTTTTATTACACAGCACTAGACTGCTCTGCCAACAGTCACTATGAGCCCTGCGCTGCAGCCTGCCCTGCCACCTGTGTTGACCCAATAGCACCCTACAACTGCAGCCTGCCGTGCGTGGAGGGCTGTGTGTGCGACAGCGGGTACCTGCTCTACAATGACCGATGCGTGCCCAGCCAGCAGTGCGGGTGCTGGCACAACGGGCAGCACTACCCCGTGGGCTCAGAGTTCTGGACGGACAACACCTGCTCCTCCAAGTGCACGTGTCCCGCGCGGGGAAGCAAAGTCCAGTGCTCCGATGCCTCGTGCCCTGCGGGCCAGTACTGCGGGGTGCAGGACGGAAAACCTGAGTGCCTCGAACAATCCTACGGCATCTGCCACGTCCACAGTGACCCTCACTACAACACCTTTGACAAGGTGACGCACCACTTCATGGGCAACTGCGCCTACACCCTGGCCAAAGTGTGCTCCAACACCACCTCCCTGCCCTACTTCAACGTTGAGGCCAAGAACGAGCATCGTGGGAACACCAGAGTGTCCTATGTGCGCGAAGTCCTGGTTGAGGTGTACGGCGTGCGCATTGCCATTGTCAAGAGGGAGAAGAGCCAAGTGCTGGTAGGCAGTGGGGCTGGCACGAGCGTGGCGCGGCCGCAAAGCAGGGCTGGCTGTTCTTGTCAGGGCCTGGCGGGTACCAGGCATGTCCATTGCCCCAGGCCCGGGTGGGCTCCCCTGAAGCCGCTGGGTTGCTTTGTTTTTCCTTTCCGGGGCGGGGGGTGGAGGAGGAAGAGGCAAATGGGGAATGTGGCCCGTGTTGTAGCAAGGACCCTGCAGAGCGCAGAACCCAGACGTGGCTCTGCAGGCCACAGGGGCGTCTGGGTGCGAGGGCATCACGGGCACCGGTTTGCCGTGCCTGGCCTGGCAGCTGTTCTCCCTGGGGCAGAAGCCAAGTCCAGGGCCCACTGTGGTGCGTCCGCCCTAGGTGAACAACCTGCGCCAGACCTTGCCGGTGAGCGCAGCAGGAGGTGCCATCACGGTGAGCAGGAGCGGCCGCTACGTCGTCCTGGAGACAGACTTCAGCCTCAGAGTGTCCTACGACGCTGACCACTCGGTGGAGGTGAAGGTGCCCACCGCCTACTTCAACCTGACCTGTGGCATGTGCGGGAACTTCAACAACCGGAGAGAGGACGATTACATGATGCCCAACGGGCAGCAAGCGGCAGACTCCAATGCGCTGGGGGAGAGCTGGCGGGTCCCAGACAATGACTCCTCTTGCGGTGTCCCCGTCGCCCCCAGACCCTGCAGTGAGGAAGAGGAGAAGCTCTACCGATCGGACCAGTTCTGCGGCATGCTGACTGCCAGGCCTGGCTCTTTTGAGAGGTGCCACGCTGTGGTCAACCCCCAGAGCTACTTTGACACCTGCTTCTATGACCTTTGTGCCCTGAATGGTGGCCAGGAGTTCCTGTGTGCTGCTCTGGAGGCCTACGCTGACGCATGCCAGGCAGCCGGCGTGACTCTTCTTCCCTGGAGGAACGCCACCTTCTGCCGTGAGTTTCTGTAGAGAACTGAATCTTTGAATAGCTCCCATATTATCTTAAGATGCCAATTTCGGCCAATAACTGACATACCTTAGAGATCTTAAATTCTTAATATAATTAAATACAAAATATTGAGAAACAAAATTCTGTAAAAGTCTCCCCATTATTGTTTTCTGCCACAGAGCAGGGGAGAATTTTGTTCCTTATCTCAAGAATCTGTCAAACCAGTAGCAGTAAGTCCCTGGTAATATGGAATCACCTCTGAGTTTTATATGATGTTTTGCCTTTAATAGGTTTGTTCATTTCCAGACTACGTCTAATGACTTTTGTGATCTGTGTACTTGTAGAAATGTACCAACTAAGTACTAAATCTAATGTAGCAAGGCATGGTTTTTACTTGCATTTGGAGATGCTTAACATCCAGGATATATGTGTTCAACATTTGTGCTATTTTCTTGTAGAATGTTTTCTTTTTTGCTTTCTGATATAAAAACAGGAATGGAATTTCAGGCTTCAGAAAAAAACCCCACTGTCACTAGTTCAAAATAATCACATTTTTGGATTGTGATTTCATGTGAGTTGTGATTGTCAGTTCAGTGCCTTCTATTGTTTTTCAGCTGTTGCATGCCCTCCCAATAGTCGTTACAATCCATGCACCAGTGCTTGTCCAGGAACCTGCACTGACCCTCTTGCATCAAAGAACTGCAGCAGACCTTGTTTAGAAGGATGTGAATGCAACAATGGTTTTGTCATCAGCGGGGGACAATGTGTGTCCATGAGTGACTGTGGTTGCCTTCAGAATGGCAAATATTATGAGGTTTGTTCTGGCACATAGTTCAGGGGCTGATTTCACAGTTCGTCATTACCATTAACTCTTTTAATTTATTTTTATTTTGTATTTCTAACAGAAAGGAGAAGCTTTTTGGCAAACAGACTGTGCAGGCCAATGTGTATGTGCTGGAAATGGGACTGTAGTTTGCAATTCAGACATGTGTGAAGTAAGCGAAGTTTGCAAAGTGCAGAATGGACTCCTGGGATGTTATCCATTGCATCCCAGCACCTGCCACATTTTTGGGGATCCACATTATATAACCTTTGATGGGAGACTGTACCATTTCCAAGGAGACTGTAATTATACTGTTGTTAAGACATGCACAAATTCTTCTGAAAGGTTTTCGGTGACAACCAGAAATGAACATAGAGGGAACCCAAACTGGACAGCCTTGAACTCAGTTGCTGTCACACTGAAAAATCTTCATATTGTTTTGAAGAAAAACAAAGAGACCTATGTAAGTGTTCTACTTTAAGCATGAACAATCCATCACATCTATTCACTTTACATTTCTGTCCAAAAGAACAGAATCAGGCTTCTCTGCTTTATTCACCTCCAAGACTGCAGATGCTAAAAGTCACAGAATTTTTTTTATTTTTTCAAAAAAAGGCAGAAATCAGCATAGCTTCATTCTGTCCATTCAAATCTTTTCTAAATGAGGTTGTAGGGAAAAAACAGCTTCATCCATAGCTTCATCTATAATAGAAGGATTTTTCTGAACTAAATCTCAGTCTGAATTTTATAGATCTGGTCTTTAAAATAGAAATAGTATTTTTACTATACACACTCGGACTCATACATACCAGAGTTAGCTTTAAACTAGCTATTCCAAGTATTGCTATGTGTGTAGTTGTGACAGCAAAGAGCTCAACTTGTGCTACAAAGCGCTATTCAAGATGTGGGGTAACTATACAGCCCATTAGCCTCTGTTATGCTTCAAACTTCTGTGTCTACATTATTCATTAGAATAAGGCTGACTTGGTGAAGAAAGCTATAGTACTGGCAGTGTAGACCTCCCCTTCGTTCCTGGGAGCTTTATTGACTTACCTGATTGTGTGGGTTTTGTTTTCTTTAGGTGAATGGAGTTCAGGTTTATCTTCCTGTGGATTTGAACCATGGAGCCAGAGTAGCTATAAAAGGACACTATGTGGTCGTTGATACCTCTCTAGGGATCCAGGTTAAGTTTGATGGTGACCAGGAGCTTTTCATTCTGGTTGATGAAAGTCTCAAAGGACAGCTGTGTGGTCTGTGTGGGACATTCAATGACAACCAACTGGATGATTTTCTAAAACCAGATAAAGTTCTAGAACAGGATCCAAATAAATTTGGTGACAGCTGGCTAGTGAAGGATGACAACAGGACGTAAGTATCTGATAATACTTTAGGAAAGAGCAAAATGCCTGAAACATACATCATCTAGTTATAGGATTAACATACAGTACTTACATTCCATAGTCACCCTTCTTTGATATTACTTGTTTGCTAGCTTTTTCATCTTTGAATAACTCCACTTTTCAATAGAGAGCATTGAAATTTTAAAACGACCCTTCAGAGGTTTTCCACATGAACTTTGTAGATTTTATTTGAAATTGGGCTCTTTTTTGCATGTGTTGTGGTTTAGCCCCAGCCAGCAACTAAGCAGCATGCAGCCACCCACTCACTCCCCCCCACCCAGTGGGATGGGGGAGAAAATCAGGAAAAGAAGTAAAACTTGTGGGTTGAGATAAGAATGGTTTAATAGAACTGAAAAGGAGAAACTAATAATGACAATGATAACACTAACAAAGTGACAGCAGTAATGATAAAAGGATTGGAATATACAAATGATGCACAGTGCAATTGCTCACCACCTGCCAACCAACGCTCAGTTAGTCCCTGAGAGGCGATCCCCTCGCCCCCACTCCCCCCAGTTTCTATACTAGATGTGATGTCACACAGTATGGAATACCCTGTTGCCCAGTTTGGGTCAGCTGCCCTGGCTGTGTCCTGTGCCAACTTCTTGTGCCCCTCCAGCTTTCTTGCTGGCTGGTCATGAGAAGCTGAAAAATCCTTGACCTTAGACTAAACATTACTTAGCAACAACTGAAGACATCAGCGTTATCAACATTCTTCTTACACTGAACTGAAAACATAGCACTGTACCAGCTGCTAGGAAGCCAATTAACTCTATCCCAGCTGAAAACAGGACAATATGACAATGTTTTTACTTATTTCTCTATTCTAAAATATCTCCTTTATATTATCTTACTAAAAGAAGTCTAAATACATCTCTCAGATTCAGCTCCTAAGATAACTCTGCATTGATTAAAATAGGCATGGGGCATTTATCTGTCTGTTAATGCTTTCACATACAAATTACTGCTCTTACCATATGCAGTAGTGAATTGAAATTATCTTGCTTGCACTAGATAGCTGATTTGTTGGTTTCTTCTGGACTTCATTCCATGGATAGACAGCCATACATCAACAAATCGCAATTATATTCTTAATGGGGAATTATCAGTCAAATTGTAATATTTCTCACTTTTGGGTTTGACACACTAAAGATGACTATACACAGCAAATCCCCAGAATTTGGCATAGGGTTCTATTACTGTTGAGGTATGCCTTGCAGGATAGAACAAAATATACAGATTTATTATATAACCATGCTGCTGTTTATTTTTGATGCAGGTGTAATCCAGTTGCAGTTGTACCACCCACTTGTGACATGGTAAAAGAGAAAGAATATGAAGAACTCTGCAAAATTATTTTGAAAAATAGTGGGCCTTTTCAGGTCTGCCATTGGCACATTCCCCCACAGCTGTACTTTGAGAGCTGTGTCTATGACCTGTGTGCCACAGAGGGGAATTATAATCAGTTTTGCAAGATTTTAGAGGCCTACGCTGCTGCCTGTGAACTTGGAGGTGTAAATCTGGGTGAATGGAGGAAAGATACCATCTGCAGTAAGTCGTTAGGTCATTTAGCAAATAACCATCCAATTAAGTCCTCATGCTACAAATATAAATTAAAGTAACTAAGAAGTTGAGCAGAATTTCAGAAAAGGGGATTCAAGGACACACAGGAAACTTTCGACTGCTTAGCATTGCTGAAAATTAGGCTTCTAATCTAAGCTTCTAATGGGCTGCCAGTATTCACTTTAGAACATGATGTTTGAACACTTTTGACCTAAGACCATTGTTCAGAATTGAGTCATGAAAGACAACATACATTGTTAGTTAAGGGCTCAGCCAGGGACAGTTGAGCACTTGTCTAACAAATCACCACTTTGGCTTTAATAAAATATTTTATCATTTTGAAAATTGTTAATACATCATGTACCCAACCTGTCTACATCTCCAGGTTTTTACCAAGCACGTGAAATAAATTCAGAAGTGTATAAACCAGGGTTTTAAAATTAATAAAGGAGAATCCTGCAGCTTGCGGTCCATTCAGCCTTCCAGTCATAACACTATTAGGCCCTTATTATCTAGGTAGACCAGTTAACATAGAGTTAAAGCTAGAGGCAAGAAAATTCTTCTTCTAAAACTACCAGAGGTGGTTACCAAACCCAGCAGAAATGGCAGCCTAAGAATGAGGCTATGACATGAAAATGTATTCCATAACCTCTTTCCAATTCTGAAACAATACTTCTCATCCCAGTTTATAAGCAGTAAAAATAAATGTCAGACCACTCTCATTATGATGTCTAGATTTCCACCTAAGCAGGACTTTGAGAGCCAGCTGAATACTTCTGTGCCAAATAGGACAGCTTTGAGCAATTTGCAGTGACCAAGGATAATGACTGTGTCACAGTGTGAAAATATAGGATATTAGTGCATTATGATGACAATTGAGGAAGGGACTTGTAAAATAAAACACATTCTCAGGCACTTAAAATTTCATACTTTAGAGTCAATTTTTCAGTACTGGTCACTTCTGCTCATTCCATTATAACATCTTCAAATTTTTCATGAACCTAGACAGGCATTGTCAGAACAGAGAGAAGATTCCAAACCTCATTGTGGAAACTTTGTTTTTCTTTCTGCACCATATACAGCTGCACCAACAGCCTGCAATATGTCCTGCACGTTTGATGTCGACTTCTGTGAGTGGGAACAGGCAACCAGTGACGACTTTGACTGGATAAGGCACAAGGGGCCGACACCCACACCAAATACCGGCCCTTCCCATGACCACACGACTGGAGGTAGGAACAGCAAACAGCATCTGGCTGTGCTTCTCTTGGAAGAGGGCAAGAAGCCTCTTTCAACAGCAAATCCAGGCCACATATTTCCTAGACTCAATGCAGAGACTTTTGAGCAGTCAGGAATCTGTTGTGGGGTGGATGAACAGTGCAGGACATTGATGATCATGTGACCTATTAGCATAAGTTCCTGTAAAGAGGCTTCAGCAAAGATAAATCCAGGCTGAGACTGGATCACTGCGGCACTTGTCCTTCCCTTTAGAAGGCTTTCCTTTCCCTAAGTAGACCAGCGTAATCTGCTGGAAATCCATTTGGGAACTGGAAGTTTAATGCAGGTGCTGGGTGAAGAAATGTTCTATTATACACAATCTGTAAATGAAATGACTTTATCTTGTCCTGGACCATTGATGTGGAAAACTGACACTCTACTGTTTCCAGAGGGCTATTGTATCTACCTGGAAGGAAATAAGCAAGAGCAAAGCGTGGTAGCCCAATTTGCTTTATCTAGATTTGATATGTGTGCAACAGTGTGGCTCACACTTTGTTTCAGACGGCTACTATATCTATCTGCAAGGGAGCAATGCCCTCCCCGGCTTTGTGGCTCATCTGGTCAGCCCAGTGTGCAGTTCAGAAGGACCGCACTGCTTCCGCTTCTGGTATCACATGTACGGAGCAGCTGAAACAATGGCCCTGCGCGTGTACATAGTTCAAAATGAAACATCAACACTGGAATGGAGAGATGCTGGAAGCAAAGGGGACAGATGGAACTTGGGAGAGATCACGGTGCACAGCACAGGAAACATGCAGGTAAGGGCACAGGCTCTCAGTGCCA